CAGAGATATAGAGAGAGAGATATAGAGAGAGAGAGATATGGCAGAGGAACTCGGTCAGGCAACGGCGGCCCAAGGGTCACCAGGCTTGTGTAACGGGATGGGGGCAATGACGAAGAGGTGTTAGACAAACTCTCAAGGGATAAGTTTGAGATAATTTGATATGTAAGTTTACCCCATAAATTTGAGGTCCCAATCCTTTAGAATACGTTGTGTTTGCTTGCCATCATCTCTAGACTAGACATAAAGTCATCCATATACTACATATATGCATCATCTAAATCATATGATCGAAAATTACTTGTCTCACCACCATCTTAAGTCCGCCACTACAATAATCTCTTGACAACATCCACTGCAGAATCACATATATACATAATGTAAAAATGATGCTTCTACTTGAGCTTTATAAATCCCTAACTCAACAAACCAATGTTCTTTGCATGGACAAAGCCTTGTAAAGTCATTTCATGACACAAAGTGGCTTACCTGAAGTGTCTCTCAGATTTCTTAGTAGCCACCTACAGCTTCCCAATATTTTATTCGTAGATTAGCCATATATTTGCTCACATCTCCCAAAGCATGAACTATGTCCATAACATACAACAAACTGCCAACGTGTAAGGCACCTTAGCCATGTACTCCCACTCTTCATCTGTCTTTGGAGGCTATTCTTTTCGAGAGCTTGAAGTGAATTCCTAAGGGAATGGTTCTGGACTTTGCTGTCTTAAATCCAAATCTGTCCAACACCTTCTTAATACACTTTTCTTAAGACAATTTTATAAATCCTTGTGATTTACCTCACATGATTCTCATCCCAACAATCTGATTTGTTGCTCATGAGTCCTTGATTTCGATGATTGCTGCTTCAATATGTTGTTCCCCTTCATATTATAATAAAATAGTGTAGTAGTCATCAAATTTATTGAAATTATAGCAGTGATGCATTTCACATCTAATGAACCAGTTACTGTGCATATAGATGTCAAATTTCTTATACCACTGTCCATGAGTTTGTTTCAAGCCATATTGACTTTTCTTTAGCTTCCGAACATAAGCTTTTTTGCTAACTTGAAACCTTCTGGTTGTACCATGTAATGCAGTCTCTACATCTAACTGTTCTAGATGTAAATTCTCAGCATCAACAATACTCAACACTAACCTGATGGTGATCAACTTGAAATCCTTGTGGTAGTAGGTGAACCTAGCTCAGGAATTAATTGTTTTGCTCGTGAAAAGAGGGTGCTTTGTTATGAACTCCATCAACAATAGAGAAAGGTACTCTCATATGTGTCGTTCATTCCAGAACTTTAGGAATCCAAAATTACATCTCACTAAAAATGCACTACTAAACTCCCTATGATGTATATTTCGTCAACCTACTAATAAAAAATGTGAAATTGCTTCTATTGAATTATCTATTACATGGATGTGATATGATTACGAATTTATATAGTCAATGAAACAAAAGGACAAAAAGATATATTAAGAGTTATAGGTGTCCCATCACTTATTTGATGTGATATGAAGAAATTTTTTTATAAAGGACGATAATTCTACTTAGCCAAAAGTTAAGAATTAAGAGTTTGACATTGTTATAAAAGCCAAATGACATTTTCTTCTTGTGTTCCATATACATTTCACTTTCTTTGTTTTCCTATTTTCTACTCTCTGGTATCTCTTTTACATCTAATTTTTGCATGCGAGTATTTGTAAAGTTATTTTACATTGCCTGTCACTGAGGTGTTTGGCCTAGTGATAAAGAGGTTATTTGTCTTTCCCTAGGCCCTGAGTTCGATTCAAATCGTAAATAAATCTTTAAACGGCTCGTTATGCTTAATTACAACTTATCTTCTGTTGAGAGACATTCTGACTGCCAGTATCTTGGTAGGGTTCAAGTCACGGACAAGGTAGATTAATTATGCCTCAATACGACCATTAGATAAGAAATGTGAGATTATGGCCCAATACGAAGATTAGATAAGAACTGTGCGATTAGTGATGGGCACAGAGGGTGATCGTTGGAAGAAGTCATATTATAATTACGCAGAGGCAAGTGACGACATCCAGGATATGACTACTGACTAGAGGCAACCGTTACAGTTTTTAAAGGCCATAACATTGACTTTATTTCCACTCAAAAAAGAAAATTAAAGAAAAAAGACATTGCCTATATAAAATATGATGTCAGGCAATTATAAACACCAGTGTATGCCAAAAAAAAGCTAGACAAAAAAAAAAACTTGTAAAGAAGACCAGTCAACAAGTCCACTTGCTTTTCGAACCTCAGAAGAGATAGATTCTCTATCCCTATAAAATAAGATAAAATAAAATGAGTCTAACGTTTTGGTAGTAGGTGAACCTAGCTCATGAATTAATTGTTTTCCTCACGAAAAGATGGTGCTTTGTTACGAACTCCATCAACAATAGAGAAAGGTAATTTCATATGTGTCGTTCATTCCAGAACTTCAGGAGTACAAAAATTACATTTCACTAAAAATGAACGACTAAACTCCCTATAATATATTCGACCAAAAAAAAAACTCCCTATAATATATATTTGGTCATCCTATTAATAAAAAATGAGAAATTTCTTCTATTGAATTATCTATTACTAGAATGTGATATGATTAAGAATTTTATATGGTCAATGAAACAAAAGGACGAAAAGATAAATTAAGAATTCTAGGTGTCGTATCACCAATTTGATGTGATGAGAAGAAATTTTTTATAAATGACAATAATTCAACCTAGCTAATAGTTAAGAATTAAGAGTTTGACATTGTTATAAAAGCCAAATGGCGTTTCTTCTTGTGTTCCATGTACATTTCACTTTCTTTGTTTTCCAATTTTTAACTCTTTGGTATCTCTTTTGCATCCAATTTCCAATCGCGAGGAGCTGTAAAGTTATCTTACATGACCTATCACTGAGGTGTTTGGTCCAGTAATATAGAGGTTAGTTGTTGTTACGGAAGCAAGCAATCGAACAATAAAATAGACAGAATAAAAAAATAAATTTAATACCAGATTTACGTGGTTCGATCGTAATGACTTACGTCCACAAGGAGAGCAGCAACGAACTTCATTATAGATCAAGCGATACAACAGAAATTATAACCACACTCGAGTTACTCAAACACTCTCGGTATTTCGCGCGTCCCAATTACATACAATAACTCACACAGTGTTTAGTCTATAATTTCTCACGAAATAATCTGTCAATCTCACAAATGAATTATACACAAATCTTATCATAAGATTTAGTTGCTATAAATATTTAAACTTTTAGTGTAATTTCACGAACAAAATTAGGAAGATAATCCAAGCCAAGCACTGGTCACTGCTCACATCAACTACGGCACTAGAACCAACGCGGGAGCCCCACACACACGCACACATATATGCCGTATGTCCACCGCTTGAAGAAGTGCAACAAATCGTCAAAGATAGCCACTGCACGAACAGGATAAGGAAACTAAATTCCAGTGAGATTCGGTCAATCCAAGTCCAATATTGGGACTTTCTTATTTCCGTCTTTTCTTTGACCAACTGTTGAAGGATTTCCTATAGTATACGACAAGCAAAACAGAAAAAAAGGAAATTACGTAGTTCAATTTCCTTGCTGAGTGCGTTGAAGAGTTGGACTATACCGAACAAGAAATATAAGTGGCCGGCGTCCACAAATATTCAATTTATCTCGAATCGAATTTCGTTCACGGACTCAAACTCACGATATATTTTAACAATTATCTTTTCCTAAGTTATACATTTGATTTAAATTGTGAATAAATATCTGAACGGCTCGTTGTTCTTAATTACATCTCTCGTGTTGAGAGGCTTTCTAAGTGGGGTTACAGTTCGCCAACCCTACACAATGAGGTCATAGGCGGTGAGGAGTAACTATAGTTCAATATGAACATTCCATAAGAAGTGTGAGATTACTAATGGCGAGAGGGCCAGTGGCTCTAGTTGCTCCTACTTGCCCTTTTATTTTATTTGAAAAAAAGTTATTTTACATGACCTATTTATTAGTTTTCTTTCTGCTAGCCGGTCGCAGCGCTGGGCGGCGTGCATTTGATCGGGCAAGACTACCTATATAAAGAAAGAGAAAACGCAACCGCACCAACTCTAGTAAGTCAATAGATTTCAAGCATCTGACCCATAAAAAAAAACTTCAAGCAAAGGTAAACTGAATTCATTGCACACATTATTTACAAAAATTTCGTTCACTCGCCGCAAATTTGAATTATAAGTCAGATTTTATGGCACAACTTCTCTAATAGTGAAAAGAATATCACAAGTGCCATAACTTTTACACGGTCCACATTTGAGTGCCACAATTTTTTTTCAATCACTTGAGTGTCATAACTTATGTACAACGCTCACTTGAGTACTATAATTTTTTTTAGATCACTTAAGTGCAATATAATTTTTCAATTGATCACTTGAGAGTCACAATATTTTAAAAAACGTTCATCACAAGTGCCATATCATATTAGATTTCCGATACTTTGGTGAATGTTTTTGAAAAGTTATGATATTCAAGTAATCAATTAAAAGTTATGACATTCAAATAAATGCTTTCTAGAAATTATGATACTCAAATGATTGAAAAAAAAAGTTGTGGCATTCAGGTGAGCGTTGTATAAAAGGTACGATACATGCAATGTACTTGTCCCTCCGTGATACTATAAGAAACTGAAACGATAGACATTTTTCAACAATTGGCCAAAACCAATGTCGCACGAAATGAATGCAGTTCTTCGCTCTCTCTCCCCTTGGTCTTCTTGGTCTTTTCTTAATATTTAGTCCGACCGATGGATATGCACGAAGTCTTTTCTTAAGATGTCCAAGTCAATCCAACGAATCCCCAGAAGAGGCCTTCCCCTGATCAGGTAATTTCCCAACATATAAAACCATGATTCATGCTTAGAGGTGCAAACTGCATTGTGCAGATCTTCCATTTGTTTAGTCGGACACATATCCACATATTCACACCTAAAATGGAGCGAAAGTTGATAGAAGCAGCTCAAAAGGGAAATTTGGCTGAACTGGATGACTTAATCAGAAGCAATGGGCTCATCCTTGAGGAGATGGCTCTCAAAGGAGGTCACACGCTGTTGCACGTCGCTTGCGTGGCCGGCGAATTGAATTTCGTCCGAGAGCTTCTGAAGTTGAAACCGCAGTTCGTGGAAATAGTGAACGCTGATGGCTTCAGTCCGTTGCACATCGCGGCAGCTCAAGGTCATGTTGAGATCGCGAGGGAGCTCTTGGGAGTGGGTCAACACCTGTGCTCTGTGAAGGGAAGGGAGAGAAGAATCCCTTTGCATTATGCCGTCGTAAACGGGAAGCTCCATGTCATGAAGGTGCTGCTCTCCTTTTCGCCTGAGTCTGTCGAAAAGACAACCGCCAGAGGGGAGACGGCGCTTCACCTTGCCGTGAAGAACAACCGGTTTGACGCGTTCGTCATGTTGGTGGAGCATCTGAAGCTGCACAAGAAGGAGCAGGTGATCAATTTGCCGGACAACAGAGGCAACACTGTCTTGCATGTCGCTGTCGCCGCCCAAAATTTCGAGGCAAGTCACGCTGTGCCCTTTTCTTATCGCCCTTTTTCTTTGCGCATTCTTTCAGTGAGGATGTTAATTTAATATTCCACAATATGCAAAAATCTTCTAAGCAAAGGAATTTATTGAATCGCAGTCTGTTTTGATTGTTACTATAATGAAGGATGTCTCGTTTGTGCCCAAAAATTTTTCTGTATTATCTTGATGTCTCAAAATTAACGACAACAAAACAAAGATGGAAAAAATGGCAGGTGGTTGACTTCATGCTTTGTGGGCATGCTCTGAAGTTCGGGATCATGAAGGTGAACGCCTTGAACAATAGTGGCTCAACCCCTCTCGATGTCTCACCTCGCTCTGATCGAGAGATTAGAGAAATCCTCCTGCGAGCCGGAGCCATACACGGACAATCAAACTTGCCCTCTTCAGAAATAGAACTGGTGCACCGCAACGAAGGTAATAATAACGGAGCCACCAGCTATCGACCATTATCGCCACCAAGAGATTCGTACCAAGGACAAGAGTCGTTGGATGATAAACGCAATGACCTGCTGGTTGTAGCCGCGCTCATAGTAACCGCAACCTTCCAAGCCGTGATTCAGCCTCCAACCCTTTTTAAAAAATTCAAACTTCATACCAAGAATGGCTTGCTTGCAGCATTCTCATCTTTCGCAACAAGTACCATCGGGACGAATTTCGCTTTATGTACCTTCCTGAGCAGCAACACTTTCGGATTCTTCTTGTCTGTTCAGATAATCATTCGTCTCACCAAAAATCTTCCATTGAAGTGGTCGCTGATGCTCTCCATGTTCTCGATGGTTCTTACTTACCTTAACTGCATGGCGAACGTGCCGTCCAGGTCGTTACTGGATGAAGATTTCAGTCCTCAAGGCGCAGCATTGATATTCTCACTGGCGACCCTGATACCAGTTGCTCTTCTATTATTACAGAACAAAATAACACGATTACTAGGTGCGGCAAAGGAACTCTCTTCGAGAGTAACATCCTAGGTTCTATGGACAGTCCACGAAAAAGTAGGTCTCGTCGTTAAAGATATCTCTCTACTTAAGGGTTGTGCAAAGAAAATGCAAACTGTATGCAGCGTCGGAACTGAGTTTGTCAATAACGCCAGGTGTTGATCCGATACCCTTGGTTATCTCCAGTTGATTGTGTAATGTCCGCAATGCCTTCTCTTATTTTTCTTATTGAATGTGTCCTGAGCTTATAGCACATCTATATCTTATTTTGGTACAGAAAAGGTTACGCTGCTGTTCGGCAACAATATTAATGCTGCTCCCCGAGATGTAGCACTCTTTTCTTTTATTTATTTCCCTTAGCGACCACCATGTCACCTTAATTTGAACAACTAGAATAACCCCAGTGCAATGCATGGGGCATGATGATTAAATATAAAAATAAATTTTGACTCTAGTGTATTTGTTTCATTAGAGTTAATATTAGTATGGGAAAATTCCAAACAAGGGAAAATTCCAAATAATGACCTGAAGTGCCCTCATTTTCTCAAATAAAGGTATGAAGTAGATCTTGTTTTAAATAAGAGCCTGAAGTGGCTATGTTAGTTTCAAAGATATGGAGAAATTTGACATACTTTGTGTCTAACACAGATATGGAGAATCAAGAGCAACATCCTAATTATCTCTAACACAAATGTTGATTGCTTGTGTCTTCTTCTAAGTACCACAAATAGATTTATTGACTCTCCTCTCCTTGTTTCTTCTCCATGAAGCTCTCTCTCATTGCCACCGATAAATGCAGGACACTGTAGAGAAATTTGACATACTTTGTGGCATTAATATACTCGACACTTAAATACCATCTCTTATAAATCATCATATCTTCCTTCACTCTCTTTCATAATTTGTTTTCCTCTCCTCAGTGGGAAGATGGCATGAATATATTTCTCATACAAAGTGTGAACAGAACAACTAGTGTACGTAGTTTTCCAACGGAGACATCACCGTCCGACAAAAAGAAGTGTTAAGAATGAGAGGACACATGGAGCCATGTCGAAATTAGTAGCTAGAATTTTTGTGAACAGGAAAAGTACCAAAAAAGTCCTAAAATGTTACGTTGATATCAATTAAGTCGTAAACATTTCCATTGAGCCATTTTAGTTCTAAAACATTTCACACTGGTACCAATTCAGTCCATCCGGCAAATTTAAGCTAGAAATTGCTAACGTAGATGCCTCCGATCTTATGTGGCATTGCTGGCGTTGACGTGAACATTTTTTAAATAAATTTTTTGATGTGTTTTCTTTCCTTTTCTTTTTCCTTCTCTTTTAGCTAGTGACCGGCCACAGGCCATGGCCCTCGGCTAGCCTCACCTGGGAGAGGGCGAGCGCCGACGAGACCACCCTCACCGGGCATTGCCTGGGAGAGGGTTGGCCTCACCCTAACCCGGGCAAGGGTCGGTAAAATCAAATAATAATAGAGTCTCCACGCTTTTATTATTTCATATTTAGCTACAAAACAAAACAGAAGTAGTTCGCCCTTTAAAAAAGCAAAAGGAAAATCCGAACGTAAAGAAGAATTATCATATTAAACATTGCAATTAGTTCCACTAGGACGAACAACAATAGAGACAAACTTATGGAAGTCGTGACTATGTCGTCGTTTTATTGTTTATTGTTTCTTTCTCACCTTGGAAAACAAGGATTGACTCCATGCAAGTTTGAAAGGATGAGTTCTCACCTTGAAAAAGCTCAGTCTGCAATATTAAGGAAAATGAGGATTGCCTTAATTTTAAGAAAATTAACATTAATTTAATTAGGTAATCCATTTATGACTATTTAATATTCATTTAAGAACTGTTAAATTGCTAGGTAACTCATTTATGACTCTTGTTTTTCAAATATAAGGTAATCCATTTATGACCATTTAACACTCATTTAAGACCTGCAAAATTGTTAGGTAACTTATTTATGATCCTTGTTTTCAAAATATAAGGTAATCCATTTATGACCAACACCATCGTATAGGAGGTTTTTTTATAGGAGTTAATATATGGGTTCTAGACCCATTTTGCCATCTCTAGTCAATGTCCTCCCGCTGGAACCCATATTTGAATTTGCACCGTCCGAGTAGATTTTTGAATTATAAATGTTGCTAGAATACATATATCTGATTCATTTTTGCAACCACGGAACGTCCAGCTTTTATTGATAAAAACCTTAACCAAAGTTTCAAGTAATCTCTGTCTTGGGGTTTTCGAAACACCCAACTGATCTTTAGTTGGTACATTAAAATAATCCTATGAAAATCATAAAATATTGTTAAATCTTTTTAGAGCAAAATGCTGGGGTCTGTTTCTCAATCATCATGTCCTCAACCACTATGTTAATCGTATAGGCTGCTCAAATAAAAAAAATTCCCAGCAGACCTTTCATTTTAATTAAAGATAATAAAAAAAGTCGAACAATTTCTAGGGAAAAAGCATAAAAGAAAATTGGTCCAATGACAATATTGTAAAAGCATGTCCAATTGGAAATTGATAACTATACTATATTACTAAAGTTCTGTTCAAAACATTATACAGTACTATCATACCATTCGAAATGCAAGATATGCGTGCCATGCGAAAGAAAGTGAGTTGAGATTTCTACACTATTTTCCGAAAATAATGAGACAAACTGGATGTGATTAGTAGATCAATATAATAATGTAAACTAACTTTCAGTAATTACCAAAAAAAATGTCAAACAAGGATCTTCAATTTAATTTTTAAAACCAAATGGGATCTTCTCGTGTCCTCCTACCACTACAGAAAGAAAGCACTCGCGTACCTACCTTCTCCAATTCCACACTTTGACTTCATAGATCTGTAATGATCCAATCTGATGAGGGCCGGGGGTGGTTGTCGAGGCCAGAGGTCCTGGACATGGAGCTACTCTTGACAAACTTCTAGGATGGTGAAGAAGTCATGAAAGAACTGAACGGTGCACCGATCCATGCACCGAACTAAAGAAGAGCAATTGTGAGATAAATATGTGAAAACTGAAATCAATTCACGAAAGCGCCTTTTGACATAAAATTAATGCTTAGCTTTGGAACTCCAACGTTAAGCATGTTCAAGTGGGAGCACTACCAGGATGGGTAACCTATTGGGAAAGTGCCCACCTGTACACCAAAACACAAAACTGTGAGGCTCGATATAAAACGGGTCATAGTAGACAATACCTCACTAAGTTAATTCAGGGACGTCACAAATAGAGTCTCCATGCTTTATTAATTCATATTTAGCTGCACGACAAAACATAAGTAGTTTGCCTTTAAAAGAAAGTGTAAAGAAAATCCGAACGTAAATAAGAATTATCTTATTAAACATTGCAATTCGTTCATCTAGGACGAACAACAATAAAGACAAACTTACATAAGTCGTAACTAAGTCCTCAATTTATGGTTTATTATTTCTTTCTCAACTTGGAAAACGAGGATTGACTCCATGCAGGTTTGAAAGGACAAGTTCTCACCTTGAAAAAGGTCGGTCAATGTTAAACTTGCTAAACAAGTGGATTAAGTCAGGTCTTAAATGGTCCGATCCAAATTGACTCGTTAACCCGTTTATGACCCGTTTTTTCTTAATGTAAATTTCTTGACCCATATCCGACCTGATCCGTACCTAACTCATACCCGATCGGACTCATATTGTTCAACACTACCACATTTAACCCAATTTAGGAAAACTTGTTTCTTATGATTTTCTTAAAAAATTATATTGCTAAAATATAACCATGCAATAAAAATCTAGTGGACAATTTTTATAATTTTTTAAAAAAAAATTGAGGTTCTGTTTGTTTCGCAGAAAATATTACATTTCTGGAAAATGTTTTTCACGAAGTCATTTTCCAAGAAAATAACAATATTTTTTTATGTTTGGCTGAAACCAAAAAATGAACTAGAAAATATTTTTCGCCATTTGGTATGAAAAATCTGATTTATTTTCCTCCATGCACTCTTTTTAATAATTTTTTTTTCTTTTCTTCTTTATTATTTTAAAACAATCGAATTTTATTTTTTTTTAATTTTCTTTCCTTTTCATTTTCCTTCTTCTTCGGCCGATCGCCAGCCACGGCAACGGATGGCAACTGACCACAGGTGAGGGACGAGCTTGCCGGCCTCAGGCAAGGCTCGAGCTTGCCTGATTTCGGCGAGCCGAGCCTCACTAGCCTCGGGCGAGGCCTCGGCCTCAACAAATCGCAAGCTCAAGCTTTGCCAACCTTCAGCATCTCACTCGCCTGTGGCCAGTCGCCAGCCATTGCCATGGCTGGCCACTAGCCGAGGAAGTAGGAAAAAGAAAAATAAAAATAAAAGAGAAAAATAAAAAATTATAAAAAATTTCAGAATTTTTTTAAAAAAATAAAATAAAATTCACTTAAGCTTGTTAATTAATCCATTTAAGACCTATTAAATTGTTAGGTAACCCATTTACGACATACTTAAGCTTGTTTTTAAAACTTACGGCAACACATTTATGACCCACATCATTATATTTGAGTTAATATATGGATTCTATACCCATTTTGCCACCTCTGGTCAGTGTCCTTCAGCTGGAACGCAACTTTGAATTTGCACTATACTTGTAGATTTTTGCATTATAAATGTTACTAGAATACATAATATCTTATTCATTTTAGCAACCACAGAACATCCAGCTTTTATTGATAAAAACTTAACCAAAGTTTCAAGTAATCTCTGTCTTGGGGTTTTCGAAACACCCAACCGAACTTTAGTTGTGTACATTAAAATAATCCTATGAAAATCATAAAAAAAATTGTTTAATCTTTTTAAAGCAAAATGCTGGGGTCTGTTTCTCAATCATCATGTCCTCAAGCGCTATGTTATTCGTTTAGGTTGCTCAAATAAAGAAAAATTCCCAGCAGACCTTTCATTTTAATAAAATATAATAAAAAAGTTGAACAATTTCTAGGGAAATAGCATAAAAGAAAATTGGTTCAATGACAATATTGTAAAAGCATGTCCAATTGAAAAATTGATAACTATACTATATTACTAAAGTTCTGTTCAAAACATTATATAGTACTATCATACAATTAAAAATGCAAGATATGCGTGCCATGCGAAAGAAAGTGAGTTGAGATTTCTACGCTATTTTCCGAAAATGATGAGACAAACTGGATGTGATTAATAGATCCATATAATAATG